ATTATGATTATGATTATGATTATGATTATGATTATGATTATGATTATGATTATTATTATTATTATTATTATGATTATTATTATTATTATTATTGTTATTATTATTATTATTATTATTTTTAAGAAAAGAACAGAATAGCAAGTTTCCTAATATTTCCTAATACAGATCCTTGTGGTATACACGACGTTACAATATATTAAAATGATAATTATTTGAGATAAAGTTACCAGAGGGTTAGAGAAACCAAAATTTGAGAACTTATTGAGCAAAAGATCTAAACTATCAAATGCTGTAGTGAAATCAAGATATATTGTATTCGTTGAAGCAATTTGGCTCAAATTGAATTCTCAAACATAAAATTTCTTTCTGTCTCTTTACCTTTGTATAAATCGTGCCAAAAGGAGAACTTGGATTTTTTAATAAAGAAAACATTGAATCATAAATTAAAAATTCAAATATCTCATAATCACTTATACATGATTGACACCGGTCTACATACAGGGTGTTAATTAAGTATGTACAATAAATTCAACAGACGATTTTATTTGAGTGATTTTAAGATAAAAAGTAAATACCTTAAACACCCTTTACCCAATTTTGTTGTAATTTGGCAGTATTATTTGTAGTAGTTGTAGTATTAATTGTGTATATATATATTTTAGATCACTCAGATCATTTTTTACATTTTAAAATATTTTAGTTTTCACTTAAAATTATGATTACAACTTTCACTTGAAACAGTGTTTAGAATAGATTATGAGTTACAGCGTTAAAGACTTAAAACAATTGAATTTTACTGTGAACTGAACTAAGTTTTTAGTCATATTTATAAGTTTCTTTATGCTAACACAAGTACAAGCATTCTTAGAATCTACTGCTGTTCTTGCGCTTTACATGAGAATGCTTTGTTTCGAGGAAGGATGTTATCTGTGGTGTCATATTACTTGATATCTAATATTCTTAGATAATTTTCGTATATAACAACTTCCCCTTTTTATGAAAAGTTGGTCTTTTTCGCCGACTTTTTACGGAAAATCTTGCATCTCCTCTTCTTCTGTGCGAAGATTAGGTCTTCTTCGTAGAAGGGTGTTGATTCTTGTCAGCATCTCGTTAGGGGTAGTTTCTTCAGATTTCTTGCAGCATTTATTCCTGCATTTCCAGGCGATGTAGATGAAGACGAGATCTATCATGGCACCAATGGTAAGGTAGGTCATCAGGGAAATATGTTTGGTGATGAAGGGTTCGTTTATTAATTTATCCAGGTCTCTGGAATATTGCTCAAGTTTGTGGTTGGCTATATCCAAATTTTCTACATTTAGGTAGTCGAACTGAAGAGGTTTTAATTCGGGCAATTGTAGTTTTTCGGGTAAATCACTACAACAGTCATATGGTATAAGCACTGGGTGAGAGTTGTCTGTAATGTTCAAAGTATTACGACTTTCTGTTTGCACTTTCGTTATACCGACAAATGCATAACAATCTGGTTGAAGTTTTAACACCGAATTTTTGTCAATGGTGATAATTCTAGCGTCCATTAAATTGCAGTTTATTGTAACACGAATAGGTTCGGATACCATGATTAACCACACGTTGTTAAACGTGTACTTTCGAAAACTTTCGAAACCTTTTGTGAAACGAGGGTACTTTCACAATTTTCGGGAACTTTTCTGAAATTTTTCAATAGCTGCGCTTCGCATGCTGCGCTGCTGTCAATTGGGTAAGCATAGAGGTCAGAACATAACTTTTTGCGGGCACCGAGTTGTTTGCATGTGCTCAAACTCTTGACGGGAATGTACATTAAGGAATCATCATTTCGCGCAATGTATTTTTGTGAAAATGACAAAACATGATGCAGACCAGTTCTATTATCTAATATAGGGATAGGATATAAATGGTATAAGGTATAAAGCTGTTGTTCTACTAATGGTATTCTTAGAACAAAGACAAGATCTGATTTTGACTGAAAAGCTTCTAATTCAATAATTTCCAAGTACAAGGGAATTTTTGAGTATTTTACCGGGAGAGGTAAATTATTTTTGACTAAATTTTGAGAAATTTTCTGGAGTGCGGTAATCAAATCTTCAGGTGTAATGATAGCCGAATGTATTATTTTTAAACGGGCAAAGGTGATAGCGTTTAAAATGTCGTCGACATTGCTCTGAAGGTATAAGTAACTTCCAGTTAATTTTTCGCATATTTCGACAAATCTCAGTTCAGCTTGAACTAGTACAACTCTATCATTTATCTTAGTTAATGAATTTTGAATTTTTCCCATGTCTTCCTCAAAGGTTTTTTGGTTAATNTGAACCAAGGAGTCCATCGAACTCTATATCGAGATCGCACACATAAACTTTAAACGGTTCATGTTTGTCGAATGGAATAAGAACTGATTCGTTAATAGTTATTTTTTCGTCAGTTATACCTTGAATGGTAACATTTTCGGGACATCTTCTACTATAATTTTGACAAATTTTGGGTTTAAATATAGACAAACCTGCGCCTGTGTCGATTAGTAGTTTATACGTGTTAGTAGCGTCATAAATGTAATATAAATTTTTGGATTTTACAGATAATAAGGGGCTTATAGAAATTGTTGTTCCGGGAAGTTGAGGTTGGGGTTCAAATTGTCCAAACTCATTTTGCCAAATTGGGTTTGTAACACTGTCATGTTGGAATTCTTGTGATTCGGTGGGTCTGACTGGGAAGGTGGACCTTGTCGAAAATCCTGATCGTATACGGGGTTTGCATCAAAAGTTGATTCCTCGTAGTAGTAATTTTCGGAGGGACCATTAGCAGTATAATAGTCTTCATTAGTATTATAATATTCTGAATTATTAACAGTATAATAATTCGAATTTGCGGAGTTATTATCAGTATAATAACTGTCGTTGGTTTTTTCAGCTGCATGATGATTTTGGTTAGGTAGTTCTAGGGTTTCAGGTTCTCTTTCTTGGTTAAGATGAAGCGTTTTTCTGTTAATGTTTGGTCTAAAATAATTAGGATTCGGTTAAATCGCAAGGAGTCTTGGCGTGTGAAGATTTGGGTTTATAGCAATGACTGGTGGTCTTGATTGTTGCAAATTTTGTGAGGTTCCAGGGCTCTGATAATAATTAGGCCTTAGTTGTTGGAAATTTTGTAAATTTCCGGGACCTGGGGTATAGTGGTTAGGTCTGGCTAAATTTTGAAAATTACCAGAACTAAAATTTTGAGAGCTTTGTCTTTGACGACATTCACTAAAGACATGTCCTGTGCGTTTACAAAATGAACATTGTTTTACGGGTAAAGGCGTGTTAGGTTTACGTGCGGGTATGTTAGCATTATTACGATTAAATTTTTGATTTTCGAAATAATTTAACTGAAGTTCTCTCCGAACTCTTACTATTGCTGTTAGCATGTCTCCAGGGTTAATTGCTCTGATGACATGTCCGATTTTGGGCATCAGTTAACTGTATTTGAGCCTGTTTTTGTGCTCCAGTTAATTGTTGTTTATGGATGGAAGCATGCATTTTTGCTTCGTGAATTTGTAGACGCGCAATGAACGTAAGGGGCAATTCACTGGGAAGTTGTCGGATTCTTTGAAGATCTTGAATTAATGAAGTTAAATCGCGACTATCTCCGAAATGACTTTCTAACAAAATTTTTATTTCATCCCATGTAGTTGGGTTTCTAGAGTTAACTACTTCAGCTGCGCGACCCTTTAATTTGTTTTTTACGTGGACAGTTAAAAGTACCTTCTGATTACCAATTGCCATATCATACGCGGTTTTACAAGAGCTTAAAAACGTGTTTAAATTAATTTGATTACCATCATACTCAGGGACGATGGAAAAGATTTCATTTAATTTGTAAGGTTCAACAACTTCTTGAGCGGATTGGTTTGGTTGTTGTTGTTGAGCCATGTTTCTGGTAGTTACTGGCATAAACGATTAAACATTTCAGGGAAAATTGTTACTTTGGATTAAAAGGACAGACAAATAGAACTGTTCTTTTCAGACACAATGTGTACAAGCTATTAATTAAATTTTCGCACTTAACGAGATGATTCTTTGTACTTACATTAACAAATACATCTGATCTGATCTGGGGTGTTGAGATGTTTTGTTCTCCACGAGCACGACTACCGGGGGCTTCACCAGGTGTTCCTTCCGTAGTTGCCGTTGAGTGAGGACGTCTCGAGTGTGGCTGTTGCTTTCTTTTCTTTGTGAGTTGAGGTTCTTTCGTTGAGGGATTGGAATCCGCCGCTACCAGTTAGATTTTTCTTGTTCTGGTACCGTTGACGAATCCTTGCCGACTGCGCCAATTTTTAGATCACTCAGATCACTTTTTACTTTTTAAAACATTTTATTTTTCACTTAAAATTATGATTACAACTTTCACTTGAAACAGTGTTCAACAATAGATTATGAGTTGCAGCGTTAAAGACTTAAAACAACTGAATTTTACTGTGAACTGAACTAAGTTTTTTAGTCATATTTATAAGTTCACTCACCACCTCCAACGCATCCAGAAGTTTTGCAAAATAGTGCACCAAAAATTTTAATTATAATGGTGCCAAAATTAATGGTCCGATAGCGCCAGCTGTGTGCACACTTAAAATACATATAATTCACTACTTTTGTGCACAGGATCAGCTCTACAACTTAAAAAATGGCGAAATAATGAATTTAAAAAGAAACGCTAAATTTTCAGATTTTTCCGGGTTTTCTTCGTTTCTAATTATCCGATCGGATCGATCGCCCTCCCGTTTTATTTGTATTTCGATTCTCTACAAATTGTCTCAGCATAGCATTAAGATTGTTTCGTTAGTTTAAGTTTTATAAGCAAAACACTAAAAAATGCGTTTCTTTGCATAATAATGTTTATAAACAATTAGTTAATGGTAAATTGGAATAGGAAACGTAACCATATATCTACAGGCTGTCTTTTAAATGATGGTACAGTCCGTTTGTTACTAGTATCCTGGTCATAAAATCACTGATTTAATGTTCTATTGATTGGCCTATGTTGTTATGAAACGCCGTTCTTGAAGTCTTTTGCAAATTTTGGCAGCGTGAGTGTGTGTCATAAAATTACACTTTCTAAATTTAATCATTTTTTTTCTAAAAAATTGTGCTAAGGTAATTCTTTCGGATTATTTTCTGTTTCAAAGGCTCTGCGGGTATTTTAATCAAGTTTCTATTGAAAGAAATAGATAAGAAGTAAATCTTAGTGCTCCACTACCTACCTACACCTACATTTTTTTAGTGATTCAATATCTTGTTTCGCTTGTGTAATAAAATCTCTCAAATTGTGTGTATGTGATATTTTATATGCGCATTTATTACTGAAACTTTATTGGAGTACCTTTCTTCTAAAATTTTAAGTACCGTTTTAAAATTGTCATTAGTTAACGGTAAGTTATTAATCAAATTCAGAGGCTCATTTTTCAAATAACTTTTAAGATATATGAAAAGTTTATTATCTGACAATTGCGTATTAGGTATTTATTATTAATAAAAATTTCATAAAATGACAGCCAATCTGACATTTTTTCAGAAAATGTAGGAATAGTTATTTCGGGAAGTATAACATTAAATTTTGTGTTCATATTTTGCGTTTCTAGTCTGTTCTGAATTAAATTTTCATATTTATTTGATTCTCTTGACTCAATTGCTTCTTGTATCTTTTCTAACGTGCTATAGTATTTACTTTCAACAATTTCTCTATCTTTTAATTGTCCATCTGAATCATGAAAACTAATAGTTACCTAGAACTCCGATACGGTAGTTTATCGTGACAACAACAATACTCTGGTCAATGAAGAATCCAGGATTGTATATCTGAATAGCACCAGCTCCACTTCCAAATCCACCTCCGTATATCCATATTAACACCGGTAATGGGGTTTGTGAAGTATCTCCAGGTGTCTATAAGAAAATATGCATCCATAATGACGATATTTGAAAAATAACAGTAAAGTAAATGCAACTTAAATATTTTGGGACGTATAATTTTACTAAAAGTACACTTGTATTAATCACAGTTTTGGCCTCGAATGCATCGCTTAAGTTCATAATTATCCATTTTTTTTTTTTTGAATCTAACCAAATAATTGTATTAGACATCGGCAAAAAGAGCGTGATAACAATGTCCAAAATTGTTGACATTAAAATGACTGCAGTATCAGCTAATTGTAACTATTCTTACCAGAGGAGTGTAAACATTTAAGTACAGACAGTCTTCCGTTTGGTTTAATCCGGGAAGCGGTACATGGACGGCTCCACTTTGGTAACAAATTTTTTCATTTATCGTGGTGTTTAATATTCCTTCCCATTTTGCTGGCGCTACAGGGGCCTGAAAGTGAATTGAAACATTAAAAATAAAAAGTAAAAATATATATAGGTATGTGTCATCCTTACTTGAAATCTTAATTCGCCTACAGGTGGAGCTGCGTATGGTATTTCTTGAAATGCATAAAAAGCATTGCCATTTGGAGATTGCAAGGTTTGACCTCTTATTTGTCCGTCTGGTAAAGTGACAAGTGTCGGGTCATCTACCTATTTATTAAGAAATATGTAATATTTGTGGTACTTTAACTAAATACCTAGATATTAATAACTATTTTGTACATAAAGAACACATTTCAAATTTACAAAACTTTGATAAAAGTTTAGTAAGCCAACAATTACTTACATCTGCTACAGTTGATCTTATTGCACATAAAATCAGTATCAGCAGCCCGTTGCACTTCATCATTTCAAACTAATAGCGATAACGAACAAGCTTTTCAATTTATAGAATTTGGAACTGGCAAATTTTTATTCGGTCAAAAGTCAAGTGTTCTATTTTCGCACATATTTTTTGCAGTTTTATCTTTATCTTTATAATAATCATTTTTTATAAAGAACATACAGCAATAGAAAAAATATTATGTCAACACTTAATTTAAAGTGGTAGGTAAATTTTGAAGCGTTTTCTATAAATACCAAACATAAATTTCTCACAAGTCTCAGCGAAATATTGTCATGGCATATGTAGAGTTTATTTAAATGTAGGAAGACTTATCTAATATTACAAAAAACACAGTACACATAATTCGAATTTACTAATTCTGTATACTTTTTGTGTTTAATGTTAAGGTTATTGAATATTCGATAATTATTTTTGAATAGGCATCATTGTAGGTACTTATTCTTCTAATGGCTTGTGGTCAGTTTGTATAGACATTAGTATTTTATTTGCCAAAAGGTTCCAATTGGAACCCACTTCCATGTGATCCACATCTATACCGAATGGTGTTTTTGATGAAACTGATGTTGTTAAAAACACTAATAATGTATATAAATAAAAAGTGTTCCATTTTGAAAGAATGAAATATTCTACAAATATGGATTTCATTGTCTTCTATACAGGGTGATTCAGAACTTATCAAAAAAAAAATTCTGGATGTACACAGGGGACCCTTATAAATACAGTTTTGTAAAGAAAAAATCAAAAAGGGCAGATCGAAAATGATTTAAAAATACAATTCTGCACGGCACTGGAAACTGGTCCACTGTAAAACCTGACCGCGCACAATGCGACCGACATGGCGGTGTGATAAAAACAGACAAAAATTTTCGCAAGGAAAGAAATATGTAAATAGAATTTTATGGCACCTATTTTATGTCGGCAAATTCAACTGCTTTTACTTTTATTAATTAATAATTTGTGTTTTTAAATAATAAAATCATTTGACATACCCGATGTTACAACAACAATTGTTCAAAATTTTATCCACCAACGTGTAAACACATTTGGGTCCGTCTTACTCAGTTTCTACGAACTAACACAAATGTTGTCTTGCTTCACCATAAATTAAAACGATATCCAACAACTCCGAATTGCTATACACGCATACCATTTTTGGCACTAACTACTAAAAAAACCATTGTAAACACCACAGATAACAGGTAAATACTATCGCAACGACGATTGCAAAATCCGATTTCAGTATTCGGAGTCGCTGAAGCCACGTGGCTCTCCACGCGTATTGCGAATGACGCTAGAGACTGCAGTTGTTCAGCTATGTAGTGGTTGAATGTACTATAACTTCAATAATTTTTTTCTCGGAAACTATAAGGATTTTATAGAAATTTTTTACAAAATTGACTCCAATCCTCATGCCGCATCTATTCCCAAATTTTTTTGTATAAGTTGTGAATCACCGTGTAGAAAATGGAAAATTTTAATATTTTTACATTTTCTACAATTTTTTTACATTTTGCTTCTGCTTGCTTGTCAACCTCTTGAAAAGCCAGAAAATTTATAAATGAGGCAATGAATATTTTGAGGTCATCGAAGTGAGATAGTAATAAGGTGTTTGAATAAAAAAAATATGAATTCTTTTGTTATCGAGTACTATTCTACAATAAAAGTGACTGTTTATAAAAACGACCCCGCCGGAATCCTTACATAAATTGGTTTTCGGTAAAATGGTTTGAAACCAGGTGGTTTTTGTAGCTTTTGAGTGGTAGATTAAAAGTGTCAATGGGCGTCAAGCCCTAAAAATTCATGGTTCAAAGTTGCAGCTCGCTGAAGCTACAATGCTTTAGATTTCACTACTTGCATAGTATAGTAAAAACATACTACATTCTTGCTCAATGCCCAATAAACCAATAAACTATCACCGACATATCGAGACCTCTGACTGAAAGGGATAAAAACGATATTGAGATGATCTTTCAGGTCGCGATCAGTACAATCGATTTTTCACAATCATTATCGTACAATAAAAATCATAGCGATTGCCGTCTGCATTTGCGTGACCCGATGTGCACCACGGGGAGGTTGCTAGATCGAACTTAGCACATTATGTAGATCATGATGTGCTAAAGGGTTGATTTTCAAAGTTGAAAGATCCTGTCTAGCAGGAATCTAATGCCTTAACCTAATATTTCAATATTATTTTCGTTCTCATTGCGTGCATCTGATGTTGAATTGAGTAAGGATTCATCGGGGTACTTGATATTATCTTGATGCCGCGCGTAGCCTAAAAACCACAAAATGCAGGCGATATGAGCGCATAATATTCTATTATGTTATCGGCATCGTCAGCATCGTTAATTCCGTCTCCATCAGCATTACTGTATTGGTTTTTAACAGCTCGTCGAAACCTGGAGTAAACCCTAACTCTTATAAAGCCCCGTTCATTTACATGCTCATCTAGTTAAACTAGTTACCAAATTTCATAAATTTATCACAACTTGTTTCGGATATATTTAGAAAAAACCAACATCAGAGTGGCTCCTTTAAGTGGCTATAACTTTCTTTGGAAGAATATTTGGACCCACGTTTATATAAAGAAAAAGTAATCTTATTCGACATAGAATACCCTGTAGAAATATTGCCCCTTAATTTCGGGACACCCTGTATTATTGCAATACTGCCGTGTAGCTTTTCTGTATTTTTAAAACGTGTAAACTAGTAGTAGTAATTTCACAATATGATACATTTATACTTTCGCAAAAGTGTTTTAGTTACTGTAAAGAATCTGAACTTAAAAAAATAAAGGTAGGTACTATAAGATGGGGAATATTTTAAAGTTTGAAATAAAATGTTAGATATTTATAACTATTTTTATTTTGAAAATAATGTACTAGAGTGTAACAAAATGATAATATAGAATGTTTATAAAATGTTAAATACTATACAGAATATATATCATATTTGGAATTATATTTTTTATCCAATTGGTTTGTTTAAGTACTTAAAAAGATGTACTCGAAAATACTTATAAATATATCTACAATAAGGTGATTAGATCTGTATCTACCATAAACAAACGTTATGGTCAGTACATCTACTCTCTTGAGGGTTGTGATGGTGATTCAGTGATTGGCAATCAAAAAACTTAGGTACAATAAATTGATTGTATTTTGTCATGAATACAAGTACTGTTAGAGTCAATGATAAAAACAAATAAAACCAAGTCAATTAAATACAATACAGTTTTTAATCACCAACAATAATAAGACAACTCGGAACAACATATTACCATCAACCGCGCACTACGCAGCTCAAAGCCTATCTGTCTCGTAAACCCTTATTCAGTACTCTCTCAACACTTCTCATTCAAATTGTGACCCTCTTGCCGTGCCATTCATTACGAGCCCATTTGTTTACAAATAAGTCTATATTACAAACATGTCAAGTTAAAATAAACAAATTTTTATGTGATTCTTACAGTACATATTTTTTATAGTGACTACCATAATCGAAAATGGACTCTCTCTACCTATAATAGTGGAGAGGTGCATTCGACTTTCCAGGGAAGTAATACATCTAGGAGTGATATTGGATAGTAAGCTTACCTGGAATGCACATTTGGAAAAAGTTGTGAGCAAGGCGAAGCAGACATTGTGTGTATGCCGTCGCCTTGTTAGGAGCACCTGGGGCTGAAGCCAAAGATGTCATACTGGATGTATACATCGATAGTAAGACCTAGGATTCTTTATGGCGCTATGGTATGGTGACAAAAAACACAACAAACCACAGCAAGGAAAAAACTGAATAGAATTCAGAGACTGGCGTGCTTAGGTATAACGGGGGCGCTGGCATCGACCCTGAGAGCTGCGCTAGAAGTCATGCTAAGTCTATCACCGCTGCATATAGTGGTGGAAAGAGAAGGGCGACTAACAGCACTTCAACTTAGGAGTAACAACGACTGTAGGGGTAGACCCTATTGCAGGATCATGGACACATCTGTGTCGGAACCAACTCTTGAGATGGTATCTGAGAGAATGGTTCCAAGGTTTCACTTCCACAAGCCATTTAAGACTTGGATAGACGATCAAAGCAAATGGGAGGAAAAGTTTGATATCCTGGAAAGATGGAGCCTAGTATGGTTTACGGATGGCTCCAAAATGGCCAGAGGGACGTGTGCAAGGATATATGGACTCAGACCCAGATGGAGTGCAAGCTACAGTTTGTGGGCGTTTCCTACGGCATTCCAAGCAGTAATTTTAGCGATAATGGCGTGCTTGGCAGAGAATGTACGTAGAGGTTATAAACGTAAACTCATATAGTCACACAAGATAAGTTCAAATCTTGTGTGGGATTGTTTACAAATGCTGACTGAACTGGCCACCAATTATACAGTTAGACTGTGGTGGGTGCCAGGGCATAAAGGCATTTGTGGGAACGAGAAAGCGGATGAATTTGCTAGGAAGGGAGAGACAGAGTTCGTTGGTCCGGAGCCCTTCTGTGGTACATCTGCTAGTGTGGTCAGGCGGGCTCTGGCAAATGGACCGAGACATAACATAGGAAATACTGGAGTTCAAGACCAGGACATAGCCATTCTAAGAAGCTCATGGAGTATCCTTCGAAGAAAAAAGCAAACGATTTACTGGGCTTGAATAAAATCCGGCTTAGGAGAGTGACGGGACTCATAACGGAATACTGTTCCTTTAGGAAACATCTACATAAGCTAAAGCTCGTAGACAGTCTGGTCTGCCGAGGATGTGACTGGGCGGATGAAACTTCTCTGCATATCATGGGCGAGTGCTCGGGATTCGCACGTAGTAGAATGTCGCTCCTGGGGAGACCCTATTTGGAACCCAAGAAAGAAACTGAGAGAAGTGTCAACAAGGAAGCTTTTGGACTTTGTTAAAAGGACAAAACTATTAGCTGAACAGGACTAGTAGCGGGACGCACAATAGGCGGTGCCATGAGACCGCGGTGCCATGAGACTTATCAGGACCAAACTACTAGGGAAGGAAGAAGAGGATAATCGAAAATTACC